GATTCAAGACGTGGCGTTGTGTCTTATTATGGAGGAATGTAGTTAAATGGTTAATGTCTACCTACTTATCAACAATTGATTTTAAGTAAGATATGACAACCAGATAGCCAAAGAACTCTGATTAAGCGTGATCCATCATTAACTGAACTGAATTTATTTATGTTAATTCAGTTGGTCAACCAATTAATTAAAATATTAGTATCTTTTTAATAAAAAAGCAAACATAAATTACCTATAAATTCATAATTTAAGTTATGAGTTAATTCTACTAGAGGTCTGTTGTCTTTGGCAATTCTAAATTTAGTCCACACTATTGTTTTTGTCATTTAACATCATAGACTATTATTTTTTAGACGCTTTTAGTCATTCTCATGATATTTCCTATTATTAGTAAGGACATTTTTGTCTTTTCAATTTTTTCTTTTGTTATTTTTCTGGTTTCCCGATTTAATTCGTTTAGAACTTTAGGTAACATATGATTTTTAGTAACCATTTTCCAACCGGTTTTTAGTAAAGTCCTAAACCAATTAAACCGGTTGAAATCGGAAAAATAACAAAAGAAAAATATGAAGAGACAAAAATGCCTTTATTAAAAATAGGAAAAGTCATAAGAAGGACTATAAGCGTCCAAAAAATAATAGTCTGCGATGTTAAATGACAAACACAATAGTTTCAGATTAAATTTGAAATTGACAACAAAAACAAGAGACATTTGGTGGAATTCACTCTTTTAAGTTATCAAATTCTAACATTCATAGTGCAAGTCTAGAAATTCAATTACCCATAAATCCATCCTACAATTAATATTCATAATACAAGTCTTCAAATATACGTATTTATACTTTGGTTAATTTGAATAACCAATATTTCCAAAACAAAATGTTGGTTTTTTTTTTTTTTTTTTTTTTTTTTTTTTTTTTTTTGATTGCTATTGACACAATTACTATGTAGTATACTCGACACTAAAGTTCAAACCTGAAACCGCTCATTTAAGGGCCACAGCTATGTCGCTTGATCACAAGACTTTTGGCATTTTAACTCAAGTTTACACCCGAGTTATAATATGCTTACGTACTGCATATGGACATAACGGCTCGTAATTTTCTTTAAACATAGTGTTACCGCATCTATTGTTTATAATAATAAAGAATTTGGGCACTTATCCTCTAGTTGAGGCACATGCCATGATCTCCATCAGTTTCTAAGGTAGAAATGGTGAGTGATGATCTAAGTTTGGGGTTCAAACTTGTAATAATAAATAAATAATTTATAGAAGGATTCTTCTGGTCTACTAAAGGGCAATAATCCTATTGGCTAATATAAATTACAATGGACTATATAGTACATGTGATTATTACTTTTAATCAACCATATGGGCTATATATTATTAGATTTAAGTGTTTGGTTCAAAGAATAAAAATAAATGAAATAGAATATAATATCAATATGAATGAAATAAGAAAGAAATAGAATGCAAATATTATTCTACTGTTTGGTTCACAAGGAGAATATCACAAAAGAAGATGTAGGTGAAAGAAGAAGAAAGCACTGTTTTATTGAAGTATGAAAAATCAAGTCAACAAAGAGTTTTACATCTTCCTTTTATATCTAATCTAATCAGAAAGAAAAACAACACCACCAACTGCCACAAACTAACTAACTGCTTTCCTAACTGAAACTTAGCTAATTAGGAGAAATTAACCCTCTAATACCCCCCCCCCCCCCCCCCCGCAAGTTGGGGTGTATATGGAATGGAGCCCGAGCTTGGAAACGAACTTTTGAAACAGCAAAGGTTGTAGGGGCTTGGTTAGTATGTCAGCAACCTGGCTGTTGGTGGAAATGTGTAGCAACTTGATGAGGCCATTTTGCAGCTTTTCCCTTATAAGGTGGCAATCAATTTCGATGTGCTTGGTACGTTCGTGGAAGACTGGATTCTCTGCTATAGCTATTGCAGATTTGCTATCAGAATAGAGAATGGTTGGACCTTCACTCTTCACCTCTAATGTTTCAAGGAGGAAGGTTAACCACTGAACTTCACATGCAGCAACTGCCATGGCTCTATATTCAGCTTCTGATGAGGATCTAGATACTGTGTGTTGCTTCTTAGATTTCCAAGATATCAGGGCATCTCCTAGAAACATGCAAAATCCTGTCACAGATCTTCTTGTGTAGGGACAAGCTGCCCAATCTGAATCAGCATATCCTTTCAGTTTAAGATTGGATGTTGCTGGAAAAAATAGGCCTTGTGCTGGACATTGCTTGATGTATCTTAGGACTCTATGAGCTGCTTGTAAGTGCATAGTAGTGGGCTAATCCAAAAATTGGGATAACTGTTGAACTGCAAAGCAAATGTCTGGCCTTGTAATTGTTAAGTATAACAACTTGCCAATAAGCCTTCTATATTGAGTGTTGTTCTCCAAGGGTGTATCATCAATAGTAGATAGTTTGAGTGTCTGAATCATGGGAGTTTTCATAGGTTTGCTTCCAAGGAAACCAGCTTCTGTCAACAAGTCCAGAGCATACTTCCTCTGGTTAATGGCAATGCCACTTTGAGTTCTGGCCACCTCAAGACCAAGAAAGAATCTTAGGTTTCCCAAGTCCTTAATCTGAAAAGTGGAGTGAAGATGATCTTTAATCTGCTGAATCTGATTCTCATCACTGCTTGCCAGAATAACATCATCCACATATACCAATAGGGCTATGAAACTGTTTCCAGTACCCTTGGTGAATAAGGAGTTATCACAGATAGTTTGTTTGAACCCCAAAGTAATCAGCTCACTTGTGAGTTTAGAGTTCCATTGTCTGCTGGCCTGCTTGAATCCATAGAGGGATTTAGTCAGCCTGCATACCTGCCCAGGATATTCTGCTTCAAAACCTGGTGGAATTTGCATGTATACCTCCTCATGAAGATCACCATGGAGGAATGCATTGTTGACATCAAGCTGGTGTAGTTGCCATCCTTTAACAGCTGCCACAGCAAGAAGGGTTCTAATAGATGTAATCTTAGCTACTGGACTGAAAGTGTCAATATAATCCAGCCCACAGGTCTGGGTGTACCCCTTGGCTACCAATCTAGCTTTGCACCTTTCCACAGTCCCATCTGACTTATACTTTACTTTGTAAACCCACTTACATCCAATGGCATGTTTGGAAGGAGGAAGGGTTGTGATCTTCCAGGTGTGATTTGCCTGAAGAGCATCTATCTCAGCTTTCATGGCTAGTTTCCAACAATCATGCTGGATAGCTTCATTATAGCTCCTAGGTTCAACCTGTTTCAGAACATTTAAGGAGAAGGTTCTGAACTTTGGTGACAGTCTATCATAAGATAGAACAGAAGACAAGGCATGAGGGGTGGTCTTCTTGCTGGGTAAATGGCATTCATAGTCCTGGAGATAGGCTGGCCTAGACACATGTCTAGTGGATTTTCTGAGTTATTGCTGAGGTGGCTCAAAGACACTTTGAACTGGCAGGGAGCTCTCAGAATGATTCACTGGTACATTATCAAATTCTGAACTGGAGCCATCAGTAGGTGCTGGCACTTCTTCTGGAATAATGGACTGAGTACCATCAGAACTTAGAAGAGGTTTTAGAAAACCATCATCTGTTGTATGAGAGTCATTAGGCAAAATGATGGATGATTTGTAACTGCCTGGGCTCTGTTGTGACTCATAAGGAAAGTTCTTCTCATAGAAGACAACATCTCTGGATATAAAGACTTCCCTGGTGTGGAGATCATATAATTTGTATCCCTTTACACCATTGGGATATCCCAGCAGCATGCACCTCCTGGCTCTTGGAGCAAACTTGGTCTTGTGTCCACTGATGTTGGCAGCATAGGCCAAGCAACCAAAAGTCTTGAGATGATTGAATTGGGGAGGTTTTCCAAATAGAACCTGATATGGAATTCTACCCTGCAAGGCATCTGATGGTATTCTATTGATGATGTACACAGCTTGTAAAATGCAGTCTCCCCAGAAGCACTCTGGTAAGCCTGCTTGAAATCTCAGGGCTCTTGCAACACACAGAATATGTCCATGTTTCCTCTCTACCACACTATTTTGTTGAGGTGTGTAGACACAAGATGTCTGATGGATAATCCCCTTCTCATGGTAGAATCTATTCATCTTGAATTCTTGTCTATTGTCTGATCTAATGCACCTGACATTCTTCCCAAATTGTGTGTGGATTAAGGCACAGAAATCTTGAATGAGTTGTCTGGTTTCATGTTTGCCCCTCATCAAGAAAACCCAAGTTAGCCTGCTGCAATCATCTACAATAGTCAAAAAATACTGATGACCATATATGGTGTGCACACCATATGGCCCCCAAATATCAACATGGACCAAGTCAAAGCAGTTAAGAGAAGCAGTGTTACTGATAGGGAAAGGCAATCTTTTCTGCTTAGCCAAATGACATATATCACAAGCTATCTCTTTATTTGATCTCAACTCAGGTTTGTACAATTGCAACATTTTCAGCTTTGAATGAGAAATATGACCTAATCTGGCATGCCACAACCTATCAGCATTACAAGTGTTTACTCTAACAGTTTGTACAAGATCAGAAGAAACAAAGAAACTTGGTTGTACTAGATGATACAACCCTCCCTTCAACTTAGCTTGTCCAATCATCCTCCCATGGACTTGATCCTGTATTATGCATATGTCAGAATGCAACACCAATTTATAGTTGGAGCCTTTGATTAGCTCACTGACTGATATCAGATTGAAATGAAAATCAGGTACACAGAAGACATTTTTCAATACCAGTTCATCTGATACAATAACTGCTCCTATATGTGTGATGGCAGTTCTACTTCCATTAGGAAGTTCAACATACATCCCTTCAACACTCTTAGCTTCTGTTAATGTGTGATAGTTGCACACAATGTGGTGTGTGGCACCACTATCCAAAATCCAAGTTATTCTACTACAAGATGATGATAAAGAGTTACCTTCTAGCTGAGCACTTGGAACAAAATTGGCAGAGATCATATTAGCCTATGGTCTGGCTTCCAAATCCAGAGGTGAGTTCTGATTACATGTGTTATTCTCCCTTTGCAGCAATTGTTTGAACATCATATATTCATTCTGGGAAAGAGAAACAGTGTTCTCTAAAGGAACTTGTGCAGCTACCTGGACTTGGTTGATTGCCCCTACATTTTTGCTTCTTGGCTTCCAACCGGGGTACCCATGCTTCTTGTAACACTTCTCAATAGTGTGGCCAGTGAAGCCACAATAGGTACAAACAAGTTTCTTACTTCCATTAGGATAAAACTTCTTTGCCCCTGAATTGTTTCCTGTTTGGCTAAAGAAGACACTACCTGCACTCAGACTATCTGCTGATTGAGGTGGGAAACTAACTCCATTGTTGAGCCTCCTTTCTTGCTGCTGAACTATCAAGAATGCCTCATCAACAGAGGGCAACGGCTTCATCATCATGATCTGTGACTGAACTGAAGCATAGTTGTCATTCAACCCTCTCAAGAACACAGAGAGATTGTCACTGTCCATATGCAGTTGGAGTTTGTCGAGCAACCCACAATCACATCTCCTTGGACAATTGCAGGTGGGCAGAGGTCTTATGACCTGCAATTCATCCCACAGAGCCCTCAATTTGGCAAAGAAGGCACCTACGCTGAGGTCTCCTTGGCGAATCTGATGCATTTCAGCGTGAAGATCCGAAACACGAAATATGTCAGCTTCGCTGAATCTTGACTTCAAGGTTTTCCAAATTCTCTCGGTTGTTCCTACCCAAAGAACAGTTTGAGCAATCTCAGGCGAAAGCGATCGCATTATCCAAGTTGCAACCACATTGTTGTATCTCCTCCAATAGGGGAATCTAACGTCATTCACGTCTGGTGTCACCACGGTTCCGTCTACGAACCCCAACTTGTTCTTGGAGAGAAGAGCCATCTCCATTGCTCTGGCCCATGGATGGTAATTGTGTCCATCTAGGGCTGTAGAAACGAGGATCAACGCAGGATTCTCATTCGGGTGTAAGAAATACGGACTTCCCGAGTCGTTTGGATCGAAGGCAGTGTTCAAATTGACCGTCGGTGTCGCCGGCGAGGCTGTTGTCTGAGCTGCTACCGTCGGCGCTGTAAAACCTGAAGGTCTGATCGGACTTGCTGCTCCTGTCCAAGCCATAGTGGCTCTGATACCATATCACAAAAGAAGATGTAGGTGAAAGAAGATGAAAGCACTGTTTTATTGAAGTATGAAAAATCAAGTCAACAAAGAGTTTTACATCTTCCTTTTATATCTAATCTAATCAGAAAGAAAAACAACACCACCAACTGCCACAAACTAACTAACTGCTTTCCTAACTGAAACTTAGCTAATTAGGAGAAATTAACCCTCTAATACCCCCCCCCCCCCCCCCCGCAAGCTGGGGTGTATATGGAATGGAGCCCGAGCTTGGAAACGAACTTTTGAAACAACAAAGGTTGTAGGGGCTTGGTTAGTATGTCAGCAACCTGGCTGTTGGTGGAAATGTGTAGCAACTTGATGAGGCCCTTTTGCAGCTTTTCCCTTATAAGGTGGCAATCAATTTCGATGTGCTTGGTACGTTCGTGGAAGACTGGATTTCCTAATTCTCTGATTTGTGAAAACAGAGTTCAACAATTGGAATCTAAAGTATAAATTTTATGAATTTACAGTATAGAAATTATGGATCTACAGTATAAAAATTATGAACCTACAGTATAAAAATTATGGATATGGAACTGTACCCACCTTGCAAGGTGGGCACGTGCTCATAACATAATTTGCCAAAAGTAAAGTGCTGGCCGGATTGGTAAACGTTATCTTTTATGTTGCTCTTTTAACAAATTGTATGTATATTTCTTAGTTAATGTTTTGTCAAATAGTAGCTAAAGGGAGAGATTGTTAGCGTGGAAAACTCTTAAATCCCATTTTGTAATTGACTTGTTATTATGACAAAGTTTTAGTTGAATATTTAATTGTCTCTAGAATGAATAGGTGATAAGTTAATGGACAGAGTGCTCTAGGAAAACCTATAAACAGTCTCAGATGAGAACACCTTTCTTGTAAAAAGTGTAGACACATTCGCTAAGGAATATATTCAATGAAAGTTTGGAAAGAGTTTACAAAAGTTATTTAAAATTCATCAAAAAATCTTTGAAAATATATAAAACTCTTGATTGAATAGACTCCCCTTAGTTTGAGTAGACGTTAAACTCTTCTGTCAATTTATTGTAAACCATGTATGAAAAATTAAAATCGGTTCTCAAGAGAAAGTTAAAAACCAATATGGGTCGTCTATTTGAAATAATCTAACAAATTTGAAATAATAAAAAAATATGATGCCATTTTAATAAGTTTCTCAAAATTTAAAGGTACATTTTGTAACATTACTAAGTGCAATTTGTAATAATATATAATGTATTCATTGATAAATCTTAAAAAGCATTAAAAAAAAAAAAAACTTACACCCTAAATCGTCTAAAAATCATAAATACGTACTAAATCCTAAACAGTAAAAATTGAATCATTTAACCACACTAAAAAAACAAAACCTAAATAAAACAAAAATTATAACCATAAATTATAAAAGAAGAATCATAAATACATTGCACTTTCACAATAATGGCACGTTTAGTTTACGGAATAGGTCTAAAATGAAATAGCATTCCCAGTAATAAATGTATTTCTTTATTTGGTAAAAAATCTATTTCCGGGAACATTGTTCTTGGGAATGACCTATTCCCCTTGCAAGGGTAATAGAGATTCCTGCCCCCCCCCCCCCCCCCCCCCCAGTATTAGGCTATTCTTGAATTCTCAGGAATATCCTAAAGTTGTTATTTTCTATAATACCCCCAATTAAATTAATTTCTTATTTCACCACCACCGCCGCCGCCGCCGCCACCACCACCACCTCCACCACATATTTTTATAAGGGTATTTATGTCTTTTAAAACATATTTCATTTCTATTCCTTAAACCAACCAAACACTGTAATATAATTCCTAAAATCTATTCCTTCCGCGAACAAAACAATAGATACAATTCCTATTCTATTCCTTACCTATTCCATTTATTATGGAATAGCATTCCTATTACCTAAAAATTCATTTCGTGAACCAAACGTGCTGTAAGTGCACTAAAATGTACTCTATAGTGTTAGAAAGTGCACATCATAGTGTTGCAAAATATATTTTAAAATTTTGAAATTTAATTTGTTTTATATATATATAGGTTTTCCAGAACTCATACCCAAGAGTCGTTGGATCAGGTAAATTATTGCAAGTCACCCAAATAGCCTCCCTATTAGAACTTATCGCCGACTCTATGCACAATAAATCCATTTCCATGCACAAGTGCTCAAACTTTAGGGAGCCTTAACTCCAAGATGTTGTTGATGAGAGTCGAACCACAGCTTACCGCTGGAGTGGTGACTTTAGGTCGAGTGGTCTTACAAGATTGAACCGCCTACCATTAATTTTTTAAACTGAAAAAAATTGAGAAAGTATTTACAAATTAATAGATAAGGGGCAGATTATTCTGTGGACCCGGGTCCAAAGATACATAATTTACATACTAAATATTCAAATTTTATTTTTTCACAAATTTACAATTTGTATTGACCATGTATTGTATTTACAAATTCTCAAAACTTAAAAACACAATTTATGTTCTAGATGTTCATAATTTCAATACTAAAAATACACAAATTTAGTATCAGGGTTCATGGTATAACCACGGTAGATAGGTATGTCTCCTAAATTGGGCAACGTATGATGAAACATCAAGGGCTTTAATTTAATTTTAAGCTACGTTATTTTAAGTACGAGGATCACTACTTCACTAGCTGCAATCGAGATTTATTTGAGATCTAAGGCAAATACATTGGAAATCAAACTCATCGGAAATTCGGGATCTATACATGATACACCGATATATACAACCTCTAATCATCAACCCCTTTCTCATCTCAATAATATATACAGTGTGCATGCACGTGCACATTTTTTAACATTATTTGACTTTAGTTATTAGAGTTAGATTTTGAGATTCAATAGCTATTACACATTATTTTTTTATTTTTTTGAACTTTTAATATAATAATAAATCTATATTTTAGAATTGACATGCTATTTTTCTTTTTCCTTTTTCTTTTTTAATACAATCAATACAAATTGTATATATGATGTTGTGTGTATATATATGTTGAGAGATCAAACGCAAACTGCTCTTTTCGTGCAAATTATTTAGATTTGTATTTATAGAGTTCATGATATTTACTTTTAAAATATATCTCCATTACACTTTTTGAGTTTTTAAAATTCAATTGTCCCATAGAAATTATGACCTTTCAGAGCTTCTTACTAAATGTGTACAAAAGAAATTCTAAAAATGCACAATAAAATTTGAAATAAATAAAATATAAAGAATTAGAAGAACACTGTAAAAATGCACAGTACAAACTTTAAAGTGCAAGTTGGCATCGAAAAATACTCCATACCGGATCTATATTTTATATTCAAGAAAAATAAGTACTACGTAATATTTTCTTCTAATTTGAGATTTAATGATGTAGCACAATATTCAAGGGTTCGATCATTGACTTTGGATATGGAGCAGTCATAAATCTACGGGTCAAGTGGGTGAAAATCTTGGATATACAAAAAAAAACAAATGTTTATTATTAAATTTAAAATTTTAGATATAATTATCCAACTCTTAATTTTATTTTTTTTTTACTAATAAGCTGTAATAATACCATAAATTTTCAAACTTTTGTTAGATTCTTTCAATTTCCCGCCATTTTCCTCATTCAAATCTCATATTGATATTCTATTTTGTAACCTATTTAAAAACAATAAAAATTAAATAGTATTTAAATAAGCTGTTCCTGCCGGTCGATCTGTGGATAGGTCTTTGTTTTTAATATTAAAATTAATTACACGCATGAATGGAATAATTAAAACACCCTATACCCTTCTTGGAAGAAATAAAGAAATGAGAAAGAAAAAAGGAATTATAAAATAAATAAATGAATAAATGTGATGGATCCCAACTTCACCTGTTTGAGAATTTTGGGGATCGAACTCTAAAATGGTCGAATTAAATATATTAATAATAATAATAAAAAAAAATTCGTGTACCAATTAGATGAAAATCTACATCTTTTAAGACTTCAAGAAATTTATGTTCATCGATAACAAATTATAGTGTTACTATTGTTTGATCTAGATCCTGATTCAAATCCGGACAATGCTTTCTGTTGCCGATGTATTTATTATTAGGTCATGTAAAAATGTCGTACCATACATAAAAAAGAATGTATCACACTGCACACACCTAATTGTGCATTTCTGAACATTTTATAGTAAATTTATGCGTACCTAATAGTGAGTGACCGCAAGAGAACCTGACTCGTTTGATCTAAATTTATATAATTGAAGAATCATATTTCTCATATATACATACCAAGAATTGACTGCATAAATAAACCTTAAAAATTAATTTGTTAAATAAATATTTTGGGTGTCGGTAGAACATCGTAAGGCTGGGAGTTGGGACTGATCACTGATATCTTTCCAATGCCAAAATTCTTGTCGGCAAATCATAAATACAAATAAATACAAACTACACAAATAACACAATCTCTTTTCTAGTCTGGATTTTTTGACCTTTATACAAATGTGTTTTATGCGTCCGACGACAACCATTCCTTTTTTTCTTTTTTTTCTTTTTTATTTTTTTTTTAATGAATATGTTTGACAAGAACCGATATGTAAAATTCAAACACGAATCTATTTTTTGTTTTCAATAAAATTGTTAGAAAATAATATTTTTTATGTCTCAAATCTATGAAGAATTGGTCTCTCTCAATTGCCCGCGTCGTTTGCAACCTTGCGTCGTGCTCCTACACATTCCTCCGGGTTTTGCTCTCATTGTTTTGCTTGCCGTTTTTGTCTCTTAGTTCTAGTGTATAAATATGTTCAATATTTGCCATTGTAATTTGTACTTATCAATATCAATTAATTGAATTCATTCTTCTTTCTCCACGTACATAGATATATATATTTTCTTTGTAATCCTCTTTCATTTGTTATTTATATTATTTTTCCCTATTATTTAACTTCTATAATTCTCAATTTTCGATTCTTCGCTTCCGCATT